CCACTGCAAGGATTCAGCAGTGGAAATGAATAATGTAGGATTCTGAAGCAGATGTGAGTCTCCCGTTATGGATTATGCCTTTGTTCTGTAGTCACAGCTGGAATCACACAACAGGAGGGTCCCAGAGCTGCAGGAGCCTCTCTGATGCTCACACAAGAGCAGGTTACCTCTGGAGCTTGTGCACTTTCCTGGCATGGCATTTCACCTGGTTCTGATTCCACAGCATAAGGAGAAGCCCAGATACTTGCATTATTAGATTGAGGCTGGAAAAGAATGGGAGCCACTGCCTTCTTCCTAACAGAAACTGAAACGTCAGCTTTATGTTCCAATCACCATTAAAAACTGCTACCAAAACATATCACAAGCTTTTCTGCACCAAAACAAAAGCATAACTACCTTTATCCAGCTGCCACCATGCCATCTCCAAAACTGTGACTGGATGAAGAGATGGAAGAGCACATGGACATCATGGGTGAGTGGAGTTAAAGCTGTTGGAGAAGTTACAAAATGCACCTGCAGTTAGTCCCAGGAGTGGAATGAGTGTGTTTGCACTAGGAATGGTCCTGTACAGCTGCTTAATCTGCAACCCTTTCCCAAGCAGAAGATTGCTGGATAAAAAGAAGAGTGTATTGGATCTCTTCAAGAATGATCTGAAAGAGAAAAATGAGGATGTTTAAAAACATTAAGCTGGAATGTCTAGCATACTTCACCTTATGAAGGCCACACTGCTGCTTATAACTGAAACAAATAGGCAGAAACAAATAGGTACCATTTTCACTCCTTGTTGACATTAACATTTTGCTTTGGAGCAGTAACTATGTGAAGCTGAAGGGTTAGCACACACAAATAGATTCATCATAAGACTGGGAGTTATCACAGAGAGTCTAATTATGATTATTAAATCCACTGCAGGAAGCAAAGGCTGTAGGAGACAAACAAGACAAACACAGGATCTCCAAAGTGTAACTGAAGTTCGTCCCCAACACCAAATCAAGAAGTTTGTGGCCTTGGCTGGGTGATTCTGGCCACTTTTTAAGTCACAGGACCCTGTACACAGGTTATCTTAACACTTGTTAACAGTTAAGACTGTTAACAGTTCTCAAATGAATTTTTGACACACATTAAAGAGATCCAGTTCTTCCTCAGATAAACATTCAACTTGCATCCATTTATCTGCCACTAAAACATCTGTTAAATACTGGTCTGTTTATAAGGCAAATCACAAGTTTTCTAGACAGTTGCAGGGAGGCAAGGGGACATATTCAGAGGATATATATTTCTGTGAAGGTTTGTCAGAAAGATACTAATACTTCTCACTGCAAACATGAGCCAAACCATTACATTTTAGCTTTATGAGCTTCTAACTAAAAATCTTCTTGCTGGATCACATTTCAAAATGTCCTTCATGTCTTTACCCTGCAGGACCAAAATATTTGGCTGTTTCCTTCCCTGTCCTTCAGTTTTACTGTTGAGATCTACTATTTTCAGGGATTCCCACCAGAATATCACTCTTTGGTCAGAAGGAAGTACATTTTATGCTTTAGATGGAGGTTGTATTCTAGACAAGTAAGTTTCATTTAGAAAGCTTTTCACAGATCAGCTGAGCCTTTATTGAAAAGTATGAGGCAAATATTGATGCTTCATGTTGCAGTCAGTGATTTTAGTGCAGAAATAAAGAGTGGATGCTGCTCTGGATAAATTATTGCACCTGGGAATCATTAAAAGAAAGGAAACATTCCAATGCCAAGGAAGTCACTTGCTGAGTAGTTTATCAAGGGATTGACTAGTTCACTGCATGAACATTTAGACTACTGACTAGGCAGGAGTTAAGAGGTCTGAATACCATAGGAAGAGTCTGTGCATGATTTTACTCCTGATCATAACAATTGTCACAAATATTACTACAACCATCACCTGTATGTATTTACAGATAAGACACCAAAGAGATGATTCATTTGGTGCGTGATTTTTTGATGTCAGATCTCATTTGTTTAATTCTGTACTCATTTTATTCAGTCTAAAGCATGTTTATTGCTATGTAATATCAATGAGGCAGCATAGTTTTAAGTTCTGTGACCACAGTGAAGAGGTGCAAGACTCCTCACATTAAAAAATCAGGCATTTTTATGGTTGGGTTTTGTTTTTAACTGGAGTGTATACAGCATTTTCTCAGACTACATGCACAATTACCTTGTTTTAGTGGCATCTGACATGATACCTTGGGAATCTTGTAATACTAGTAGGCTCAGCAAAGTAGTCCATGTAGTTTTTCTTCATGGTAAGAACAGCTGTGGGAAGGTTAAATAGTATGAAGAGGAAAAAGAAAAAACGATCTGCACTTCAAAGATTCCCTTCAGGTGAAGCAGATAGAAAATCCACATAGATTACTGCAGAGGCTGTAGGTGAAATTAAAAGTTGCCATCTCCAATATATGCATTTGCCTGAAGTATTTTCTGTGTTTACATATGGTAGGGCAGACACAGCTGTGAGGATATATATATTGCCTTCTTTAGTCTGAAAGGGTTGGGTCTTGAAACTTGGGGTCTGTTAACACTGAGATCACGTTTCCAGTCCAAAGAATTATGTGTCCAGCATGTAGCAATCTTGATTATATTCCGGTCAGGATGTGGGAAAGATGCTATTAGAAACAAAACAATCAATTCACTTAGGCAGTGCCACAAACATGCTCTATGGCATCTGCCTCCTACCCATTCCAAGGGAGGTTTTACAGTGACACATTGGTGAAGATTAGTACACAACTGCAGGCAGATGCCCATGACTGATTCAATTGTCTGCACTGACACTCACAATTGCTGTAATTGCAGCTGAAGTGATACAAGTCATTGCAAAAAACAGACAAAGTGAAATCAACATTGTTCCTCAGAGATTTTATTAGTTGAAACCCAGAAAGGCACAATCCACTGGGTTGGTTTTTTTTTTTTTTTGCTTGCTATCAATTCACCACAGCATTTCCACTTCCTATGCTTGCAATAGTCTCCTCAGTGATTTAACCTAAGAACACACCCAGGGATGTGGTGGCTGCCCCAACCCTGGTGGTGTTCAAGGCCGGGTTGGATGAAACCGTGACCAACCTAGTCTAGGGAGGAGGTGTCCCTGCCCAGGGCAGAGGGTTGGGACTGAATAATCTCTAAGCTCCATTCCAACCCCTAAATTCTATGATTCTATGAACATTCAAATGGTCTGTGTAAAAACAGAACTGGCACAGGAATGGCAATACATTCCAGCCTCACTTGTTTAAAAACATTCCTCTTCAAAAAAAGTGATTAAAAGATAAAGCAGCAAATAATATTTAGAAATTCAGGCAGAACTTCATGTGATCCTAAGTAGAGAATCTCTCTCTAAGCATTAGGTTTCCCACACGCTCCAAGCACAGCTCCTTTCCTCTTCTTCTCCTGTAACAGCTTAACACCATGAATGTTCCAAGCTGGTGTTTCTTGATGAGGACTGAGCATCTTCCACAGCCTCTGGAGAAAGAGAAAATGGGTATTTAGAAGTAAGCAGTATCCAAACCCTTCCTGAGAACAGATTACCTTGCAGCCTGCCAAGCCAGTTCTCATGCAGTCCTGAAGGTTTCCTTCAGGCTGCCTACACTGCTGGTGGCTCAGTCCAAACGAATTATGAGGTGATCCATG